TTAAGAGTTAAGCATTTTGAGTTGAAGATTTAATATCTAGAATTTATATATAAATCTAAAATTACAAAGTTATAGATATAAACACAATATCATCACCGAAAAGATGAGTAGTTATCTTCTTTCTTTCATCGCCACAACGGAACTTTCATCTATTATGAATTAAGATGTATATTGATCGGATAGTAAATGCCGAACCATCCCACGTCATTGCCTCATTACAAGTTAAAAGAAAACCTAGCAAGAGAATGAGCCACAACAGTGCACTCACAAGAAATGATTTACATGAGAGCCAATAAAATTTAGGGAACTAGTTATTAACTTGATCCAGGTGCTCATTTGATGCAAAGCTTTCCCTACGTTGATTCAAAACCAAGGTAGTCAGAGAAATTCCTCAATAAAAAGGGACTAAAAAGTTCCCGTATATATTTTAGTTTCCGCTGCTCTTGGCAGACAAAACAACTTATTGCATGGACCATACCATGAAAACAATATTGTTACCATGAAGCAGATGGGGCGTGTGGTGTGTGGCATGGCATCTACACAAATATTGTAATCATTGGGCCGGCCTGCATGCTGGTCCTCACCAAATTGTTCATTCTTATCCCCCCATACATAACCCGGATGGGCACATTAGTGAAGCACTCAATAGAATATCTCCTGTAAATGTGTTTAATAAGCGCTCATGCCTGCATTCGAAGGGTTTTTTTTATTATCATGCGCGCTACATGCGATTTAAAGATTTCTTATTGTGTTTATATAAATTTTCTAGATGTTGGGTGCAATAATTTGCATTAACTTAGGATTAAGCTCTATAGTTTGTTGGTATTTTCCCTAGTGTTATTTGGGTTAAGAATAGCGGTAATTAAAGAGGAGGAAGGGACATATAGGCCATGTTTGGTGACTAGTATTAGATTGGATTGGAAGAATCACTAAATCTAAGGTATAGTGAAGGAGGAAATGAAGGTAGGGGTGAATGACTTTCCATGTTGGGAGGATTAGGGGAATTACTTATAAGCTGTTGTTATCCTACCATTTCGTGGAAATTAGATGAGATAAGCTTTCTTCATGAATAATTCATTTTATACCTTCAACTTGGTAAAAAAAAATTTCATTTCTTCCTTAAAACATGTTAAGGAATATTCAATCCAATCCAATACTAGTCACCAAACATGACCATAGAGGCAAATGAAGTCGGTTCGCAATGACATGAGAGCTTTTTACAAGTTGATGAAGAGTGTCATAAAAGCTAATATATAGCAAAGCACACCGTAAAAGTGGTAGGGAAGCCTATATTTTGTTCCTAGAGGTCAAGTTTGAGCCCATTGCTTGGACTTTACTTTTCTCTTTCTTATCAAGTGGACAAACAACATGCATCAACCATCAACAAATAATAAAGCAGAGCACTGAAACAAAACAACCATCAATTTGTCTCCTTTTTGGGGGGCCTCCAATCAGGGAATGTGCCCTCCTTCCCTCTCAACTCTCATCCTCTTTGTCCATGTGTGTCGCTCGCTCTGCCCTCAAAACCCTAGCTTAAAAACCCAGCTTTCTCAATGTCAATGTACAACTTTATAACGTGTGTATATATATAGGTGATAATGTAGAGGTATAGCTAGGTCTGTATTTTGTACTATGATAGGGTACATAAATATTATGATTATATATACACACGTACGCATCCCCAATTATTGTATGTATATAGAATGTAGCAGGCATACAAAAGTTTCTTTTTTTCTGAGTTTAGTATATCAAGACTCTACTTTGTATAAATGTAGGGCATACGAATGAGATGGTCAACCTCTCAGCCTAAATAAAGAGCTAGCTTCGTCTGCGTCTATGTTATCTCTACCTCAGACAATAATTTAATTTCTGAGAAAATATGCCACCTAAATGTCAGATATATACTTCATTCAGTAATGACAAAGAATGAGATCACCAAAATAAATAGTGATACATAAGATCATATTGATTGATGTGCATATGGGCATGCATTACCATATGTTACAATCTATGGTTCATAACTCAACAAGCTTCATTCTATTGTTGTACAGTCCAGCGTGGCCCAATTATTAAATCTAATCCAATATCGATATTGTCGATAACTTAATCATCTACTTGGGTTTAGGCCCAATAAATCCATCCAAAGCATCGCGTTATTAGTAGTTAGTGAACAAATATCTTTTGTAGACTATTTTAGTACTTTTCCAACGTGGGATTATGCACACATTCACATCTAGGGCTTGATCAAGTCACACAATCGCAACATCTTATTTAGTTGACATGTTTATCACCACATATTAATTATGTGATAGAAGTACTTAGTTTACTATTACATTCTCAAAAATTAATAAGTTCTCAATTAGGATGTGGACCAAAAATTATTTATGATATACACAAATATGCAATGGATTGATTCAATATTTAAGGATACATAATCGCTGTCTAGTGGTTTTGCAAAGGCAGAACAAATGAGTAGTCGTAGAGGCCAGTCCTGGACTCCGGGAACTGTGGAGCTTAAATTGGGATTTAAGAAATGGCGACTAAGGAAGGACAGGATTAATGATGCTGCTTTGCTTCACATGCCGCTGTAAAGAATGATGTTTATTATCCTAGTCAGCCACAAAACACATGTAATGTTGTTATGTGAACAAACCCTAATTACTCATTCAGTTTCACACTTGTCTGCTTATTGTTCTGGATTTTGCTGGCCAGGTGAAGCAATCTCTCCCTCTCTCTCTCTCTCTCTCTCTCTCTCTCTCTCTCATGTGCAGGCCAGCTGACAGAAAATGAATAATGTCAGTCTTTAGTTTGGTCCTTTCTTTTTGTTAAGTGACGCAAGAAAAAGTTAAGAAAACAAATAAAACCCAGCACGTCAAACTCTCTTTGGTCAGAAAGAAAGCACCCACTTCATTTTTATCTTTTTCTTCTCTGAGGAGTCCATTTCCCGAGCATTCTCTCTCTCTCTCTCTCTCTCTCTCTCTCTGAGATAGAGAGTTTTGATGCATTATGAGTCCATGAGCGCACGCCCAATGATGCTGTCCCTTCAGAATTTGCCATTGCTTAAAAGGGATTTTCATGCTTGACTTCAACTCAAGTAAGAGAAGAGAAGATGCTCTCAGGTCAATATTCCATAGCAACCACACTCATTATTTTAACACCCTCAGACTTTGTCCTCCTCATATTTAAACCCCCCCTATCCTGTACCCCTGGGTATAATTTTAAAATGAACTTCACGCGGGTCCAACAAATCTATATCTGCAAAACTTGTTGCTGGGAAGCTAGCTGAGTTGGGTGACTGATATCTAAATAATTTAAGCATGGATGTGCTGCATGCATGTTTCAACGCATTCACCTCTTCTATTGTATTGTGTTCTATTGTGCTTCCCAGTTCTATCTGATTTTTATGTTCTAGTTTCATCAACAAACTGAGGGAACCTCGAATATCTTGTTGAAGAGAAGCGATTCTAGCTGTTTTCGAGTGAGTCATCTTCTTTCAAGGTATGCCAAATATTCTCTTTGGTATCACATTCAAATTCTAAAACCTACGTAAGTTAATAATTAAATGTTGCAACACATCGTCATACTAGTTTGATTTCTGCACAATAATAAGTACGACTCTTTCAAGTTATGCTATTGTTATCTATTCCAGAAACTAAACCATGGGGGAGCCGGGAAAACTTAGTTGTTAATTATGCCAATTCCTTTCTTATTTCTCAGTGGAAGATTGGAAAATATTTCTCTCAAACAGCTCGCCATTGCCTTCGATATCGATACTAAGCCTCCTTTGAAATATTTTTTTGTTGTTGACAGAATTCATCTTTTTTCAGTTAGAAATTGTTGCAAGAGATCGACAAAATATATATTGAAAAAAGTCTCTAACTGACTGTATTAACTACCACTAATTCCAGATCAGCAATGCATATATACTGGACAGCAGCTGCTGAGGCTTGTGATATTTATGGTGATGTATGATGTCCCAAATCACTTTGTGTTTTTTTCTCATCGATCACCACCTTATATACGTGGAGTGCATGCATCACAATCGTAGGACTAAATCAAGAATAGATCTTGTTGATAGTAAATCGTCGGTAAATTAAACCCTATCCGCCCTTAGGCGATTAGTTTTGAGTTCGATACTCTAATTCTATTATCCAAAGTTGGATACTTAGGCCAACATATGCTAACAGTCTGCAAAGACAGAACCTTTCCTCAGCATACGAATTTCCAGGAAGACAAAACCTTTCTTCGCCAGCTTACTCTCTTATGATCCTTACTTCGATTTCTCTTTCAATTTCGCTACAAGATCGAGACAGTTCCCAAGTCTTGCTCAAATATTAATTATACGAATTAAAAGCATTTTCGAAACAATATGCCACAATCAAGTAAGCCACTCAGTCTTCTACCTTTCATTTATGCCCACCGTATGATCATCATGTTCTTTCAAGTACCTAACAAAATTGTATGTTCCAAAAATATCTCAGGACAATCACATACCAAGAATGCTACCGAGTCATTTAGTCTGGAAACAATTGATTATATGATAAAAAATACACACACACACACACACAATTGATTACATTTCTCATAAAGTATAGAGGAATCGTTGTCACTGCTGCTGCGTGCTTCATGTATAACATATATTTGATCGAGTAGACAGAGTTTTACTCAGTAAATCATAGTAGACAAACAGAATACCGGGCCATGCGAAATAACGAAAAATACATTCAACAAGTACTGCTACGCCATACAGTCCACGTAGTCTTGACTAAGTTATTTTGTAATTAAACATATATGTTCTACCTAGCTAGCTGCCTAGTATTTCATTAAAACATCAAAGGGCACAAAAGTCGAATAGGGTAAAGAAATAGCATTGTGTTTTCTTATGTACAGCAGCTGGATTATAATAATATTGTGTTTTCTTGATCCCTTTGAAGTACTGTACCTCCTACGATTAATTAGTATCATGTATTGGCTAATTATATGTAATATTCATGTTCTGATCATTTCCACAGATCAATTTGGCAACTAGAGGTGGATGTTGAGGCATAGTCCTGCCCCAAATTTTCATTGTCTGGCCTTCTGGAAGACTCATTGGCCAGCATGTTGGCCACATGAAACATTGATGCTGCATTGGAGTAATTTGTAACTTCCTTGGAAGCATCTTGCTGGTCCTGGCTCAGCTGCGACGCAACAAACTTGTCGAGCACACGCCAATCGGTCACCTGATCAACAGATTGCTGATCATTATTGTTATAAAGCACCAATGACGATGACGATGAGTTGAACATGTTTTGCTGCTGATTGATGTGCTGCTGCAATTGCTCCTCTTGTGTGAGTGTGGAAGACTGCAACATTGAACCATATGGGGCTGACTGAGGAACCTTGGGGCTTTCTAATTGAGGGAGCTGGAGGAAAGAATCATGGTGGTGATGATGTGGCATGTTGTACTGCAAATCAAGCTCTTGTTTGCACTGGGAATAGTGCTGCTGCTGCTGGTGATATGGTGAGGCATAAGGGTGGGAAATTGATCTCCTTGGAGACTCAAGTTCTGGCATGAATGAGACTTGGTCATACCAACATGGCGACTCGTAATCACCTATTTTCCTCACTGTTGCCAATCTCTTCTTGAACACCCTACACACAACCCATCCTTCTTCCTGTGTGCAATTATAACAATCTTTGGTGTTAGAAATAAACTTCACTTACAGACAAAGAAACATATACAACTGTGGAGGACACAATTTCGTCGATCCTTGCTTCGATTCTCCTTCTAAGAAACATATACATTATTGATATATAGGCTCATAGAAAACATAAGAAGAATTAATACTCGCCTGAGGAGTTCCATTCTCACTAGTTTCTAGTCGATATTCGTGCATGATCCAATCTGACTTTTGTCCATTTGGAGCACGGCCTTTGTAAAAGACTAAGGTCTTTCTCATGCCAATGAGGGTGTTCCTTGAGTAAATAGCCTTATCTCTTCCTGTAGCTTTCCAGAATCCGGCTTTCGTTGCCCTATTGGTTCGAGTTCCAGTAGGGTACTTCTTGTCTTTGTGGCTAAAAAAGTACCATTCATTCTGATCATCAGTTCCTATTTTGCACAATTCTGTCCAATTCAACAACAATAATGGTGAAGAGGATCAGCAGATTATTAAGTAAGTTCTCTCGGTTTAACTAAAGCATGAATAAATTACTAAGTACCTTGAAGATCCCACGGCTCAATCTTATAAAGATCAACATCTTTGATGACATCAAGGTCAATCCTTTTTGAAGCAATCTTCTTTCTAAGATAATAATCGACAAGTTCTTCATCCGTGGGATGGAATCTGAAGCCCGGGGGTACATGTGAAAAAGTATTCATCTTCTCCGTATAGTTATCCAAAACCTGCATTTCAAACATGAACACAATCAAACCCCCAAAAAGAAAAACATGAATAATAAGCAAATATGAACTCAAAATATACTTATGACAAATGCTTCCTCCCGGTCGTGAGAGAAAACGAACACATATCAAACGTGAAGTCCTTCTATATAACATCAGGGTGTACATACCTTAACTTCTAAGTAATACACAAACATACGTATATATGATTAGTTTTTTCTTGCTACACACATAAGTAAAATAAAATACCGAACTGTTTAGCAACGAAACAATATTGCAAAGTTTTTAATGTCAAGTTGAATTCCGATCTTTGGAATATATAATATGCACCATGCCAATCTAGCCAGGAAACGACGCAACACGTAACAGTAGGGAGGGCAAGAAATTACACGAGATCCACAAGTACTACTGAGCTTCTTGTTGATTCTTAGAGTACACAATGCCATGAAAGAAGCCCTCTATTGTCTTGTTGATTCCACCGCGAAAAGAAGAAAACACAGAAAACTCTTATGCTTCAGTGAATATTGATACTGAAATCTTACGTCCAAAGGCGAAAAGTGTTTGCACTTTTATATACCTATAGAGAACCCTAGGCGCTAAGCATCCTAATAAAATGGGAAAATAGAATATAAAAAATCTAAAACTTACCAAAATAAAGAAGATCCTATAAAATAGAATTTATTAAAACGACAATAATTGCCTAAAACGAACCTATGTATATATACGAGACAAGAGATTATGGGAAACCAGTTGGCGGATTAATTATAGAGGAGATCATATAGAGATAAGATTTCCATAATGGTAAATAAGTAATTCGTCTTCATTCTGTCTTTTATTTTGCCTATTTTGAAATCTGGGAGTAGATTCTATACAAAACAAAGAAGAGAGATCTTTATTTATATCATGCATATATCTATATATGTTCATCCAACTAAATCCGACAGCTTAACAACAAAACATGAGTTTTAAGAGTTTAACAATGGTTTGATGATGAAGCTGCTCGAATTAGAAACATTAATCAAAGCGAATCTACGTGTAGCACGATTGGACTGGAATTATGAACACAAATTAGTAATCTTCGTTCAAACTGATTCACTTTTCTTTTTCCATAAGCAGTTTAGAAATCAGATTGCAGATTTGTACATATTGAAGAAACATAAAAAGAAAAAGGGGTCTCATATATCAATGGTGAAAACTGAGGGGACAATGACAAAAAGTTGACTTTGGATGATCAATTGCATAATTTATGAACGAGAACAAAAAAGTATAATCATACTTAAATTTAAACGATGATGAAAATAATTTTGTCTTTACCATAAGAAACTAGGAAATGGATCAATCATTAATATAGCTGTAGTAATATTAATTACATGGTAACTTAAACAATACACTATTTTCTTTTCATAGCTGTAGGACTCATCTAACCAAAAACAAAATGTGATAATGCATGTAGGACTCATCTTAAAGATTTTTCTTTTCGTGTAAACCATATGGTATGACATCTTCGAGAGAATAGATCCATGCATGTGGTAAAAGGAGGTGGTATGGAAAGTATATTGGTAATTCTGATTTCCATCAAAACTCCATCAAAGGGGTTAAAAAAATGGATGGAAAATGGGGTAATCAAAGAAAAGTATGAGTGTTCTTGCTCATGCGGCTTGGATGAGCACACAACATGAAAGCTGAAAACAGCCAGATGATCGATCCATGTTGTTCCATATTAAGAAAACAAAGATCGTCCTACAAAACATGAACAGTGGAAGATACCATCTTTAAAATTAAAGCAAATACATTTGATCTTAAGCGAGCCTAATATTCGACGAAGCTTCAAGCTAATATTTCATGTGCTTTGCTTCCAAAGATTAATGGTATGTACCATTTTCATCTGTGATCATTTTAATACATTCATGCAACTGGCCACATGGATCAAAATATTATCACTAAGAAAATTAAAAACCAATAAAAAGAGAAAAAAGAAGAAGAAGACGATGATATCAAGAAGAAGAAGAAGAAGGGAGGAAGAGGAAGAGAGGAGGAGATGACAACCTTGGTAATCTTGTACGGTGACAACACCCTATGGATGCTAAAACTGCTGCACACAGATCTGGTTGATCAAGTAAACCTCGTATATCCACCAATCAGCCAGATGGTAGCTTAAAGATATATATGTAGAAGACAATATCGGAAGCTTGGCTTTCGTCACTCTTTTTAACTTTTTGGTTGTGAAATCCCACTGAAGCAGACAAAAAAGAAGCACGGAAAAGAAAGGACCAGACACAAAAACAAAACATACAAACAAACAAACAAACAAGAAGAGCAAAGCAAATCCTCGGGAATTGAACTGATCCTCCCCAAGACACACAGAGAGAGAGAGAGAGAGATCGGATCCCGAGAAATGGAAAAGAAGGAAAGGAAAGTGAAGGGAAAAAGAAAGGGAAAGTTAGAGGCTAGCTAGGAATGGAAAAACAGGGAAGAGACGGAGTTAAATAAGAAGAAACGAACAAAGAAACAAACAAAAACAAAATATATAAACACATGCCCTAATAATCCATCCCTCTCACTCATATGCACATTTTCTCTCTCCTTATCTTTTCAGTGTGTCTGTGGATGGCTTGATTGCTGCAAAAGCTTTGCCCGAAATAAAAGGGAGGCGCTCAAATGGCTCACGAAAGTGAAAAAATGAATCAATGAGAGAGAGAGAGAGAGAGAGAGAGAGAGAAGGTAACCTCCAGAGCCACCCACCAGTGATGGAGACCAGAAGAGAAAAGCTGAGCTTCTCTGAGGTTGTCTCTCTTCTGTGAGAGTGAAGGAAGGAGATTGGACGGTGAGGATTGGATGGATGACGATATCATATGGGGATTGGCTTAAATCTTCAAGGACAATGAAGGACAAAAAACAGAGGGATTAATTAGTAGTGTGTTAAACAAATTAATTGACTATTAATATTTGTTTGATGATGATGATTGATGATAAAAATATATATGTGCAGATATTTGTAATCAATGGAGGATATTTTTTGGGTGGTGACCCCTCTCTGCCTGAGGCTGTGGTGAACATTCTCCCGCCAAAAAGTAACCTAAGCTTAGCTAGCCATCTCTCTCTCTCTCTCTCTTCTATATATTATTGATCCATTGCAGTTGAGTCTACACCGCGTGCTGTGCACGTCCAGATTAATTATGATACTACAATTTATAGCCCTTCTAGATGATTACTATTTGTTTATAAAAATTATAAGATCAATGAACTTTTCCTAATTTCTAAGTGATTAAAAAAATTATTCGTGCACCTAAAATTCTGTGTTTCGAATCCTCCCTCTTTCAATATCGCTTGTATAAAAAATACAGTGTATACACCCATTTTAGCCTTAAATTATCATATATCAAATTTGACAAAGTAAACTGATCCAAATGTGTACTTGCATGTTGTATTGGGTTTATGAAATGAAGGAGGTATTCCTTTTCCCATCACCTCCTAGAATAAGGGCTCGTTTGGAAGTGATCTAGATAGGCTAGAATCACTTATAGGAAGAAGCACCTCTCATATATTTTTCTATATAATCACTTTAAGTGATTTTAAGTGATTCTGGGGAGAAGCACATAATAGGTGTTCCTCCATAAAAATTACTTAAAACCACTTAAAGTGTTTATATAGAGAAGTGATTATTGGCATATCCAGAATCACTTTGAAGAAGCCCTAAATAAATAAACTAATCCACATTCTATCTCATCAAATTAAACTTCTTCTACTCATGTTTAATTACCTGAAAACAAAAGAGTTCCTTTTTTTTAATATGTAATCAACATTTGTGCTATCGATCATCACAATTAGAATTATCCTTGTTGGAAACATGTCTCTCAACTGTTCCAAAATGACTTAATAATAGAGATCGATATAGCTCTTGGCACAATGAACAAATATTTTACCAGCAAATGGAGGACTCTCCTATCGTAGTAAGGAGGGTCAACGTCCTCTGTTTTTTATCGGCAAGGAGATTCAATATCTTTAAGGAGAAATTATATAAAAAGCACATAAGTTTAGTGAAACCCTGAATTGAGTTCATAATTGATGAAGTTTCTTATACAAGTTGCATTTATAGAAAATGTATTTTTTTATATAAACGATATTCTATTTTAAATTAATCTAAACTACGGAGAGGGTGATTCGAACTCGAGTACATAAAAAGTATATTTAAACTAATAGTTACCTGAAAAAATAAGATATATATATATATGCGATAAATTCAATGTACTTAAAAAATAGTAAAAAAAATCAATGATATTCTTCATATCTTTCGACATTTCTCTTTTTAATTAATGAACACCGATATTCTATACATAAATTTAGTTTTCCGGAATTTTCTTACCCCATATTTCATTCGCAGATTATGTTACTAAAAATCTAATTTATATCATTATTTTTTATTATTTTCAGCAACCATCTCCAAAACCCTAGACAGCCAAACTCCAAATCCTTCAACAAGCAGAGTCTCTGCAATTGCTCGACCCCGTTACAAGAAGAAAAATAAAAATAAAAATAATTATATATATATATATTTAATTCAAAAAGTGCAAATAAATTAGTGCAACAATACTGGAAAGAAACTTTTTAGGGTTTTTAAAAAAGAATTATATATGATCGTATGATACCTATCCTCACCAGCAAATGCACGCGTGCTCTGGTTGGTTGGTCCGCAATTCTTTAATTTGTATTGTATTCTCTACGAACCCTCGGCTTTCATGACATGGGCCCCACAAACCGACCTAGACAATACGATAGCGACACCTCTCCAAATACATAACATAAAATAAGGAGCTCAAATGGAGTCCGCTCGGCTCAGCCGCCCAGCCGAGGAGCGAGGTAACAGCGTGACAGCGAGAGTCAGCTGGGTTGTGTTTGTGTGTTTCCGTGCCTGTGGTGGTGGTGGATTGTGGGGCCCAGCGGACGGAATGATGTTGGGGTCTCAGTACGTGGCGGCTGATGGTCCGGCGTGGGCTAGCCCACGATCATTAGGCTCACGATTTGGTGTGCAGGCCGGTTTATGCTTGCGGGACCCACCCCCGTTATACCGTTCTGGGCCCACCTGGCCTGGCCCCACTCGCGCCCTTTTTTGCAAGAGAAGCTTACAAGTTGCCCTCTGACACATGTACCGTTCCCGGTTCAAAAATGATTTTCTCCATTTAATTCACACGGATATCTGCAAACATTTGTTATCATTTACCTTTTAAATTCAACAAACAAATCATTAACCTTTAACAACATCATTAAAAAAAGTAAAGAAAATTCAGTAATTACTTTCTATTTAATGACTTCACGAAAGCTTCTTTAGAAAAATGAAAATAAGAAACCAATAATTTGATTTTATTATAAAGGGATAGCTCTTATGTGTAATTTCGTCCGCGGTTATGTTCTTTCAACTGAATTCGGACAAGGTGAAGACATTATCTGCTAGATCCAAGGCAATGATAGAAGGGATTATAGAAAAATTACTTTTGAGAGCGATTATCTCCATATAGTTTTAGCTCTTCAAAGTACTTCTATTAAATGGGTTCACAATGGGACATGTGGTGGAGGATACAAAGCATCTACCACCTCCATTTACTGGAGAAAGTTTTACTCATGCCTACCCAAATTTTCACTCTAAAAAAAAAAAAAAAAAAAAAAAATATGTAAGCAAAGCTATTCCTACCCATCCCATGTAATGGTGTGAACCCATGCTTACCCAAACTTAAGAGCAACCCACATATTATATGGCCCAATCAAACTTAAAAAAAGAAAGAGGGCGGGGGAGGGGAGGGGAGCAAGTAAGCAGCCAATTCTCTTTCAGCTGAGCAATAATCGACAGTCCCAAATCATTATCTTTTGCAGCTTCTTCTTGAGTCTGGACATTCTCTCTTGGTAGCATTTTCTCATATCTAAGGCCAATAAGTATTCTTCTATTGGGTTTTTCCTAAAATAAATGTATGCATCTTAAGTTTTTTAACAGTTTAATTTAGTTTTAGATTTAAATAGTTTAGTTTTTTGTTGTATTGCATTAATTTGTTATTTTAGTTTTTTTTTGGGTTAAGTTTTTATATATGATGGTAAATCTCATTACGCTCTTCCCGACTAGGTGTATCTTTTTATTTTTATGAATGAAATTCATTCGTATCGTCGAGTTTTTAAAGTAAGTTTCACCTACCTGACTTTTGAATTCTGGATCTGCCACTGCTCATGTCTATCGTACTGTTAATGGAATGACTCACCGTGTGGCACACTGTGCTTTGCTAGCCTAATCTTTTACAATTTTTATCCTTTGTTCTATTTTGATGCATTGATCTAATAATTTTATCTGCCTTTTATTTAATTTTTTAAATGTGCATTAGGTTAGTTGGCTAAGACAGTATATTGTCTCATGCCATAGAGCTCGATCCCCCTCCTCGTATATTAGAGTAGTTTAGACCATCATTTTGTAAGAAGAAAAAAAAAGTGTACTAAATTATGATAATGACTTAATATGAAGTACTATTAAATGTATTAAATGTATCAAAAGCATCTCTATTTCTTTTCCTATGTATCGGGCCGGTCCTTCGCCATTGTGTTGGGGTCTTTAGGGTAAAGGTTATGTATGATAAATATAATATAATAATATTAAGTGGATTTATTAAACTTGTTTTGTTTTAACAAGAAGTGAAGCAAAAGTCTCACACGTGATCCGAGTGTCATCTTTGGATTGGGCTGGACCCCACCCCACCAATGCTTGCGTGGCAGTGGAGTGTGGTAAACAAGTTGAAAGTTTTTTAAACTCCAATTGGAAAGGGTTAATTAATTACTCTTGTTGATCGATCATGATCGAGTTAATTATGTGTAAGCTCTACTCGAGCTAATGGCACCAAACACCAATCAACATAAGACAAGCTCTGGTTGCATGCACTAATATATCATTCATAAACTTAGTGCTGCACTTAATTCATGGTTTCAATTGTAATAATCGAAATCAATTTACTTTAATTAATCGAAAACGATATACTTTATCGGTAGTTAGTAATTTTGATCCGAGACAAACTTATAATTAGCATGCACCATATACTATTTTGTTATAGTCCAAAACTTGTATACTCAATTAAGGAGTTAAATAGCATGAGTAAGGATTGGTTATGATGTATAATTGAATTGATTAAAGAGTAGTGATATAATTCACCTCAATAAGCTGCTTTTCTTGAGCTAGCTAGCATGCATAAATAGGGCAATAACGTTGCTCCACCCACCATTACATTACATGCTATGTAGTAAAAGAGATGTATTTGAGGAGGATATTGTTTGCATGCTATGATTGTGCCACGTGGATTGTTTATTACAATTATCATGATTTTGTGCATGTATTATGTTCATGAGTTTTTATTATACCAAAAATATTATTAGTTCATAAGGAAACTTAGGATTTGCATTTGTCACTAAAATTTCTTGAGACTATAACATTTGTATCATGTACTTGGAATGATGCACCAATTGTCAAGTGTACACATGCTCATAAGTACCCCTTGCCTTCCTCACTTTTTTTTTTTCTGCTTGGATTTTCTTCGTATGTATGTATGCATGAAATGTAGCATAATTTTTTCCTTTTTAGCATCCATGCTACTTTACTTCATTTCTTTTTCTTTATGAAATGAGATGATATTATTAATTAGCCTAGCACATTTTGAATCATGTAAGGCGATTTTTTCAAACCAAGTACAAGTCACCAATATAAAGGGTAAACCTCATAATACAACGAGCATCTTCGTTGGAATGATAATGAACATAAGTAGATTCATGTTAGGTTAAAAATAGCATATTCACAAATAAGTGGTTGACATTCCTGCTTAATCACCCAAACCTTCACGAGTTAAGATGTGTAACATGTCAAAAAACTCCATGACATGTGGCACATCTTAACCCATGATTGCTTGAGTGGCTGGGCAAGAATCTCAACCATTTGTTTTTGAAGATTGCTGATGAAAGACAATATCACGAACCCTTGTAGTCATGTTTGCTTATATAATCAATATTGGTAGAATGGTACCAAGTCGCCCTACCTACCCCAAAATATGTGAAAGGAACCTTGCTACAACTAATGTACATTTATTAAATAATACTTTACCATATTAACTCAATTATAATTAGAACCTTGATTTCTTTTTGTTGCGGTCTACTACTATACATTAATTAACAAGAAAATTGAGATTAGCAAAAGCTGACGAGAGCAGATGGGGAGCTGAAAACCAACAGATGGTAGGGTCTTGGTTGATGATTGCTGATATAGACCCATTATTGTTTCGGTTCCCCACGTTTAGCCAAGGATGAGCAACTCCTCAAAAAGGTGCCTATATTCAATTTGGAAAAGGTTGTCATCCTCTCACTCTCATGCCCATGAGGAGCTTCTCCTACACATCGGCATCACCAATATACTTTTAACTTAAAAAACAAACTTACCAAATGGATTCTTAGTGCTCTTTGGAGAGTTCCTATTGGTAAACTAGTCACTATACATATATATATATATATGTATATTTCTCTTTGTAAATTGTCTTTTACTTTCTCTTTTTCTTTTTCTTCTTGTTTTTGATAGCCAATTGCAAGTTGTGTTTTACTTTGTTAAGTGAAGCTAGCAAAGATAGTCTAGTTTGGACCAGGTATTTCCAAAGTCTTTGTGTACCTAAAAGTTTTGAGTAAAGCTTTAGCAATATGAATACAGGTAGGCCATACGTACGTTTTGGTCCAAGTAAAATATTATTTATAAGCTGGTCATGAAAAGAACACATCTGTATACATCAAAGAAGGACCACTATTGCATAGCACCACTAATAAAGTGATTTAGAGCAATTGCTCTCCTAAATAAGATCATGAGTTCGAGTTCTAACATTTGTGTAATGTGTGAGTTTAGTATAATATCAATCCTCTCAATAAGAAAGGTCCTAAAAAAAAATTAAAAGAGAAAAAAAGACGACTGTTTACCTGTTTTAATTCAAAGGATTGCATTGGGCGGAAAATTTGGGATGCCATCATGTCCTTTTGAACCCGACCAAACATACAATATATTCTAACTCGACTTAGCCAGATAATTTTTAGAAGTTGTTCATTCACTTAACCAAATTGATTAAGTGAACATTACACAGAGTCATCTGACTCGAGAGCTGAGAAGAGAACCTTCACCTTCATAGGCAGAGCCAAGATTTTCTATTTGCGGGGGCCAAAACGTAAAACACAAAACTTAACTATATATATTTTTCAGCTTATTAGAGAAACTGTTACCTACAAGAGTAATAGATTGAAATGAGTATTTTCTTTCGAAAATGTATTACGATTTTATTACAATATTCATAATAGATCAGGGCCACTTCTGACCTAAGTGAACAATGGCATAACTCTGCCCCTGATTTTTTTTTTTATATAATGAATGATCGTTAATTTCAACATTATGACAACAAATCCTGGGTTCCTAGGGTTGTTAACAATTTGAAATTATAACTTTGGCTGTCAATTCATGTAGTAATAAAGATATTCAATACCTAGTCATTTCAATCTTGGCTCTGGGAATGTGGCCAGTACGTGAAGCATGAGAGAGAGAGAGAGAGAGAGAGAGAGAGAGAGAGAGAGAGTTGAGATGGGATGTTTGAGTTGAATATGCAATTTGGAAGTACATGCGCATTAACACGTGGTAGACAAAGATTCATCTAGTCAAATAGTAATCATCTGTCACTGTCGCACAAGCAGCATGATTAGAGAGCGCCTAAAATATTGGCACGTGCTTGAAAACACATGTGCATAGCCACCTCATTTGCTTGTTCCATAAACTCTCCTTTTATTCTCGTGGGTCATTATATATAAATAGGCAATATTAACCTACTTCTATAATTTTTTTGGGGGGGTTTTCCAAATAATAATAATTTATTAGTTTAGTTTTAGTTTACTTTGAAGGCTGGCTTCGATCTATGCCATAGGAAGACCGCTAAGGAAAACAAAACCTTTCGAAGGGCAAAAAACAAACGAAAAATGAATTCTTCCAAGATTTATATATATACGTAGGAATTGGTCATATAATAAAAAGAAGAAAAAAGAAGAGTGAAGAAAAGAAAAAGATTTGTAACATATTGCACGTAACTCATGCGTGCTGTAAGTGGCTCACGCTCATCCTCGATCTGGAACATGAGCAAAATACAGGCACATGCATAGTCCTTAGGCCATCATATCTCTTCACAGAATAACACAACTCATTACCACAAAAGTCTTTTTTTTCTTTCTTTGAATAGCGCCTGGATCCTTGACAAAATACAAATAGTTGCCTACTCAGTCTCTTTGAGGCATTTCATCGAGCACCTTCTCTTGTCACTAACTTAACAAATATATAACCTGAGTTGCTGGGCAAATTGAAAGGGAACTTTTGCTGTGTAGGGGCAACAGACTCTCACAATCTCCTACCTACATGCGCCAGCACTGCTACTAGTAAGAACATTGGATTTAAAATATTACCCAAAAAAAGGGTTAATGAGCAATCTTTATAACACTCATAAAAAATCATCATGACATTAGTCTTACATATTCATATGTCAAAACCCATTGTGGGAATATGGATTTTTGGAAATCATTCAGATAGTAACACGTGTTAAAGTGATTATGCCCTATATTAAATAATTGTGCTAATTATATCTCCATTTAATTGACTAATTATCTTGACTTAAAATGAGAATATATCTCCCTCAAATCAAAGATTCAATTGGCATCAACTCTCCTTGATACACTCTACCTCTTGAGTGCCAATGTATGGAACCAATCTTGGGCCACTCATCACCAGGGCCGTCCTTGAGATTTTGAGGGCCCTGTGCGAAACTTAAATTGGGTCTCACATAATCTAATACGAAAATACTATAAAAATTTGCCATAACTTAATGTCATAAACAATTTTTTTTATAACTAAAATTCACCATCAATAAATATGCAATGACAATCAGAAATCAAATTCATAAAAATTTAAATGTTTCCATTTGATAAAGTTAAATGTTTGGTACAAAAATAAGCTCATTGTGCCCCTGTAAGGTCCTTTGCTGCCTCCAATAAGCAATCTGTGTTTAATAGAAAAAAAAATTGGCAATCACAAATTAAAGAGTAGTTGCACACAAATGTCATTAACAAATTAGATTATATTGCATTAAACAAAAAAGCAACAACAAAAACATACCTGATTATCCAAAAATCATTCACATTGTATTTGCTGTCTTATTTGAAGAATTAAAATTATTACGAGAGCTTTTACCCCAAAAGAAAAAAAAACCACAGCTAGTACAATACTAATGTCTGAAAATTGATCTTCTTGAATTTTTAGAAGAGAAATCATCAATCAAATGTTCATAATCAAGTTTTTCAAGAAGTTCACTTTCAATTGAAATCAAAGCTAGTCCATTTAATCTTTCTTGCGACATAGTTGATCGCAAGTATGATTTTAACAATTTTAATTTTGAAAAACTTCTTTCTGCAGATGCAACAGTAATAGGAATAGTCAATAGGATTCTATATGCAATGAATGCATTTGGAAAACAATTTAATCTTTTCAAGAAATTTAATATTGCAGTAGCTGTGGTATTTTCTTTTGGTAAAAGCTCCCGCAAAACTTTCAACTCAACAAATAAATCCTCCCCATCGACATCAGAAAACTTGTCATTTTTCATAATGCTTTCCAGATGACTGCAACTATTTTTCAAATCGCAATCATCCAATGAATTTAACTTCTCTGAAGTAAACAAAAACCCAAAAATATTCTCATACTCTTGATATTGTTGAAACCTTCTTCGTAAAGAACCAATAGCTTGATCCACTAAATACAAGAAATAATCAATTCTAAACTTTTCTTCAGCTGATTCAGGAATTGATTGGGATGGCTCACAAGTATTCTCATCAAAATGTTTTTTTCTACGAATTTGATTTTGAGTGGTCTTTATGAATTCATGAATTAGGGTTTTCTCTTTTTGGTGTTCAAATTCCTGAAATTGAAAGAATAACAAAAATTGTCAAAGGATTGAAAAAAGAAGAACCAAAGAGAAATTGATGAACAATGATGATTACTTACCCAAAAATCAGAGTTCAAGAGAAAGAAGGAGCCATGAAGCTTTTTTCATGGTGTTTTGAATGAAGAAAGTACTTTTCTTGGAGGAGAAAACCTTTTTTATTTTATTTTTGAGAACATTTGGGGGATATATCATATATATTCCTCCTTTGGTGGGGTTAAGCTTCCACGTTGCCTGTTTGTAAAAGGCTCTTTGTTTTTTTATTTTATTTAAATTTATAATTATGTAAAGTTGAATGCAAAAATAATATCAAAAAAGGCTAGCCAGTAGAACGACCTCAAGGAGCATCGAACTCGGGCCCTTTTACGAAAAAGGTATGCGCTCCAACCAACTCCCCTGAAAACGTTGTTGTGCAAATATCCAGATGCTATACTATATATACGATTCATATAATATTAATATATATATATAATATAAAGAAATTTTTTTTCGGGGGCCCTTAAGAATCGGAGGCCCTGTGCGGTGGCGCCACTTGCACCACCCCAGGGCCGCCCCTGCTCATCACATGGTCATTGCAAACACCTTGCACATCAATGAATCATCACCCTTGTAGAGTATCACGATACTCATAAAGTGCTTAAGATGCCTTTCGGGATCAAAATCCTTTTTGAATAGTGTGAAAGAAGCTGTCGTGAACCTCCTTGGTGGAGCTGCATACTCAATTTCGTCGGTGAAGGGTAAGGAGTTCACTTGGTTTACTTCTCGACGTAGATTGTCTTCCAAGTCTCCTCTAACCCTTAGGCCTTCGAAGTTGATCACTCACGAGCTTCTCGATATCTTTCAGTCGCAATAGTTGCAGTTCATGCCAAGGACGCCTGTGGTGTCTGTGTCGCTAGTCTACCTCCTCATTTTCTAAAAAATGTTATTCTCTTTGGCTACCTTGCCAATGCAGCGTGGTGGTGGATTGAGCTTGCGAAGGGTTTATTATGGCGCATAGCCTGGAATTTTATTTTCTTGTACGAGCCAGTGAACTTCACGCTCTCCATGAGTAGGGCTACTCGACTAGTCTCATCGAGGGCCTAACCTTGAATGAACAGTTCCCTGTAGGCCTAAGCGAGTATGAACATTAGACTGCGCTCCCAACCTTGAGTACACGTTAGTGTGCAGGCTCAATCTCGAATAGATACTCGTCCTACTTTGCTCGCGACTCGTAGGTGTTTTCAACTCATCAACATGCTGATCATCAAGTTCATGTCCTCCTTCTTGCTTGTTGGTTCATGCATGATCTCCCTGAGACCTCTCAAGTTGTCTGTCGGTCCGTTTGTCCATCATTTTTTTCTCACCAACAAGTCCAAGTCCAAAGTCGTGGATCAAGTCAATCTGCCCAAGTAGTCGACCAACCAAGTTCTTTTGGTCCTTGAACCTCTTGGTCAACTCATCGACCTTGCGATTGAGATATGCTTGACTGCTTGGATGGGTGGGAGAGAATTGTAAGGAGCCAAGTTGCACGCGACCTAGGGTTTCAATGGAGGCGTGATCAGGGGCCATGAACATCATGTGCTGCGGCATAGGATGAAATGGTTGCACTTTCTCCAAGACAGCTAAGTCACGGCGATAGTGGGATTGCCGAGGATGGTATAGGCGCCATGGGTCACTGTGGTCTTGCCTTGAGCTACGTCATGGCCAAAGTAATGGCGTCGCCGTGATGGAGAGCTTTTGGAGGCCGAAAAGATGGGTCTTGGTCGTGTGACCATGAGGATGGCTAGTAGTCTAGGCCACGGGGTCGTGAGGTAGGCTCAGGCCCTCCTCGACGTGGATTTGGGGCCATTTCATGGGGTGTTTCGGACTTGTAATGGAATTGATGGTCGCGAGGAGATGTAGATATAACTGAAAGGCAGGGGCAGAGCCACACTGGGACCAGTGTGGTCCCGGGCCTCCACTCAAGTTTTTATAAATTTTAAAAGTGTATATTATTTCAAATACTTTACGTTTTGATATGTACCCACATGTGTTGTGACAGATCTATTAAGGCACAATGAAGTGCTTCAAATTGCCCATTTGCTCAATTGGTGGTGGTGCACTCCAGGTGTACAGATTACCTTATTTCCATTTTCAGCATTTACTTAAAAAAACAAATTGCGCATATATTAAGAGCCAGTTTGACATTGTTGTGTTGTGAAAATAATCGCTGTTAGATTTGCTGTGAGAGAAAGCAGTTTAGCGTTTGGTAAAATTTTTGTTAAAAGTGTTGTTGGTATTAATTTTACGCATAATCAGAAAATGATTGCTGCATAATCATTAAACCCAACACCTCTTCGAAACTGATTCATGCATAATCAGAAAATGAAAGCACATCATTAGCTGCTTTCCCTTATAGCTTTCTCTCACAGCAATTTTTAACAATAAGTGATTTTTTCGTAGTTTACCAAACGGGTTGAGCTTCTTAAAATTTTTAAAAAATAACTTATCACCCCAAATAAGCAATGCCAAACTGGCACTAAGTAAATGTCTTTGTCCTTTTACTTTCATTTATTTTTATATTACTCCATTTACTTAAATTTACAATGTAAATAAGGAAGTACCCCTTATTTGGATTCAAATAAAAAATACTAGAAAATCAAATTCCCACCAAATCAAAATATGAAAAATTGGTTTTAGTGCAAAATAAGATTTAGGCTAAAAATGATGGCTCATTAAGTCAATATATACTTTATACTAAAATCTCATAAAATCAAGTTTTCTTATTTGATGTGTAAGTAGGGCTTGTCAATGGGCCGGGCCGGGCTAGCTCGGCCCAAATTGAACGGGCTTGGGCCGGGCCGGGCCGGGCTTTAAAGAGGAGAGAGAAAATATCAGGCCGGGCCGGGCTGGGTTTTTTTAGAAAATTCAAAGCCCAAGCCCGACCCATAAGTCGGGCTTGAGAAAGCCTATTGGGCCGGGCTGGGCTAAGCCCAACGGGCCGGGCCGAAACGGGCCTATTTCATTCGAAAAAAATCATAAACTTAATCATAAGGGCATTTTAGTCTAAATTTGAGATTAAACTCACTTAATTCCAATATTTTCACATCAAACCAAATTCATAAAATACCCAATAAAGTCACACAACTTAATAAGATTTTCCACAAAATAATAAAACAAAGTATTATTTTTGAGGTTATTACATAATTAGACCGTAATACGTTTTAAGAAATAATTTTAAAAAATAATAAGTATCAAAAAGATATTTTTTTTAAAGGACGGTATAAATAAATATGTAAATGTTTGGTGATGTGTTCAAGAAAAACATGATTATATTTTGTGGTAGTAGTACGATTATGTTTCGTGATATGATTATATTTAGTGATATGATATATTGTTCATCTTATTTATATATATATATATATATATATTTGTTGTATTAATAATTGACACAAATTAATGTGCTAATCATCCAATTATAAACTAGGAATGAGTAAAGAAAAGTAAATGAAATGAAACAAATTATATATATGATTTAAGTGATATAATCCTAATCCTAAACTCTTATTTATACATAATTATATATGTATGCGGGCCTAACGGGCCGGGCTTTTGTGGGTGGGCCGGGCCGGGCTTTCTTGGGCTTAATCGGGCCGGGCCTATGGGCCGGGCCGGGCTTCAGACACCCAAGCCCAAGCCTAGCCCGGCCCAAGGCGGGCCGGGCCATCTCAAAACCCATAACGGGCCGGGCCGGGCTTTTTTCCAATGGGCCGGGCGGGCCCCCATCGGCCCATGGGCCCGCGGGCCAAATGATGAGGCTTATGTGTAAGGAATAAAAGCCGCCAAAAGTTATCTTGAGAAAAGGATTATTTGGAAAAACCATTTTTCATACTTAGTCAATATTTTTACATAAACCATTTTTTCATGTATGATATGAATGTATGAAGGGACCTAAGGTTTTTTTTAGTTTGTGAAATTTTGATTTTTTCTTTCTATTGGATTTAATGGGGGAAAAAGCTTTAAAGATATTTGCTAAATCGCTACTCTTTGTCTATCTCTTACAATTTTTCTTGCTTAAAATGTATTTGTCTATCCCTTTGTCGAGGACAATTATGATTGCAACCAATAAGCAATATAATTCTTGACATATGTGATATATATATATATACTATTTTTCATATGTATTATGAGTTCGAACTTTTGATTCTTTATAATTTGTAAGAGGCCCCCACACACATGAAATCCTGGCTTCGCCACTGCTGAAAGGAATAGTGTTTGCTCTTCGGGGAGAGAGGGAGATGGCACGGAGCTTAGAGAAAAGGAGACGGCACAGAGCCAAGAGAGAGAGAGAGAGAGAGGGAGAAAGAGGTGGTGTGAGCCTTAGGGCTTTTTGCTAGGGTTTGGAATTACCTCATGTGTGACGATAACTTGCCTTTATATAGAGCCTCATTGTTTGGTATGATTTATGGGAAAATAATTCCTTTATGGAAGGGAATTATTCTCTCTCCTGAATAAGAAGGTAGATTAAGGAATCCTTGATTTGAGGGAGATATTACATTTTAAGTCAAGATAATTAGCCAATTAAATGGATATATAATTAACATAATTATTTGACCTAAGGCATATTCCATTTCCACATGTCACCATCTGAATGGTTTTCAAAAATCACTGTTCCCACAATCAGCACTATTTAGTTACTATTTTATTCTTTTATAAATGATAAGATTACCACGCAGCAAACTGCAAATCCGATGGTACATAGCGCCCATTGATCTACCAAGAAAATTTAAAGTGGTAATTACATTAGAATTTGAGTGTGCAAGAATTCATTGAAACCTTATAAAATGGTTTTACAACTACATATGATACATGTCTTTCTCCAAGGGCCTACAAGTACTCAATTTCTCCTAATCTCATATGTATTTTTTGTTAAATTTATTTTAAAAAATAACCCATTTAATTATAATATATATGGTAAACCCACCACCAATTTGATTAATTATCTGCATAAAATAGAATTATTTTTATTAGGTAATTTGAATGTTGACTTAATAGGTCAACTCTTGGGCACAGAAACACATGCACATAGTGGCATTATTACAGTTTCAATGTCATTTTTATAAGAAAAAAAATTATATATGGTTGTGGGACTGTGGCTCTTTTTAGGAGTGTTGATTGCTAAGTTGGGAATGGAAAAATAAAAATAAAAATGAAATAAATAAATAATGATAATGATAACGGCAGCAAAGATTATGATTGCATTTTGGTTTATGTGTCGCCGTCAGAATAATCATACCAATTATGGCATGAATAATAAGATTAAGAAATGAGAACAAATAAAGGGTGAAGATAATGGAGCTTGGGATAATTACCATCTTATAAAACAATTATATCCCTGCAAATTGCACAATAATAATGTGGCCTAATCAAGAGTGAAAAGTTAAACGTACGTTTTATTGACCTCATTTATGATGTTATATTTATTTTTTATTTATTTTTTTATTTTGTTAAAAGGGGCCAAAAGCCCAAAGACAAGAAAAAACTAACAAGTAATTAGTAACCCTAATACTCTTGGCAAATTTAGTTTTGCAATGAAGAAGGAGAAGCATATGGAGACCAGACAGAGCACCATTCCCTGTTGGTTTTATACAGCCCATGTTTCTAAAATGGGTGTAACAGATTAGGGCCTTGCATGCACAAAAAGATTAATTGAATCTTTGTTTTGCCTTTACTACAAGTGGAAGATTTTGGATTGAGGTAGAGATGTGGCAAAGGTTGAAGTTGGTGGGGTAACGAATTAAGCACAGAATTTCAGGAGTCAAACTTATCATCATTTCCATCATTATATAGTAGGAGCTTATTGTAGTTTATTAATTATATGGGGATTCGGTTTTAACTGGATTGGAGTTGAGTCTAAATCAGTCCTTATGAGTCACGCTCCTCTAGATGAGACTTATAAGACACAATATGTTGAACATATGTCTAATTTAATAAGTTCAATCTCAGCATATCAAATAACGGTCAGAACACTTGTCCAATTTAAATGAAATTGATTAGTTCAGTCTAACCCACAAGATGTTATATAATTGTACTCATCTGTATGAACCATCAAATTAATCATTCAAAGTAACGTAAAATAATTTATTAAAATTTATATAAAAAAAACAAAAAGGTAAGCTAATCGAATCATATATACATCTAGAAGGAAATTGAAGAGAATTACAAATAGAGCTCTCTAGGAAAGGCATAGCCTTTTTTTTTTCCTTTCTATAGATGAAATGGAAGGCCAGGTTGCCATGTCTGTTGCTTTATCTGAAAGCCCTTGAACTGAAGGGCACTCGTGGTTTAGATACGTTGGCTATTGGGAGTGTGAACTGTCCTCCTAAAAGAGGGAGGCAGAGCTCTCCCAAGGTCGTACATATAAAATAAATATATTCCAAAACATAATTAGCTTTTGTCCCATAAAGCAGTTAAGGTGGATGATGAGGTACCAAATACCAATCCCTTGTGGGGCTTCCACAAGATAGGCGATGTGCCCTCCATTGTGTTCACATTTTGAGGGCAGAAAACAGGTTGCCCTTCTGAGAGGCACTTTCAACCTTCTGGACCAGGACCCCAATCTAAGAGTTTATTTATTCAGATTATTTCAACTTTAATTTAGATATGATGCCATGAAACTAGGCTTTATGAAACTGCTCAAGCCCAGCCCAGCCCAGCCCAGCCCAGCCCAACTAGCCTATCTCTCTCACAATGGAAAGGCTATAATGAGGGCTTAAAGTGAGGAGGTTATTTGAGGAGGTCAAATCTCACCATCAACAAATGTAAAGAAATCATGGGACTTAAATATTTTAAATGTTTTGACGGTCGGATCGGTCTCCTCAAATAACCTCCTCACTTTAACTCCTCATTGTAGAAGCTCCCACTCTCACAAATTCCATGAAACTGGGCTGGGCATGCCTAAACAACATTTCAGACAGCAGGCCAAAACACATCTCAATCAATCACTTATATCTCATTTAATGACTCAGAAATAATCATTAATTATTATTTTCAGAATTAATATAATATATAATTATACACATAGAATATTAGTAATATATATATATTTTTTTAAAACACCAGCCTATAAAGATTCTATATTAAACAAACAATGATCTGTAAATAACATTATTTTATTGTAATTAAGAATCGTTTTGTAAGTTGTCTCCAACAAAGGAAGTACTACGGATCAAATTAACTTGTCTCTTTACAAACCTGTGATCAAACACGAATCCAAAAAAGTGGTTGCTGGCGGGGTAGAACAACGCACGTACAAAGAAAAGTTGTCGTATTTGAGAACACAGTTTTAACCAAAAGATTATTGTTTAAACCCTAATTAATTAAATTTTGATTGATAATGTTGGCCAGTAGGTTTTCGACCATATATATATATTAGAAAAAAAATATTCGAAATTGAAGCTGAGCTACTCTTTGATCTCTACCACGAATGCATGCATGGTGGAAAAGAGAGTTAGAAGATCAAAGATGCCTACGGCATGTTGGTTTATGTTAATATGTTATTTGAAAATGCTTAGGCCATCCCCAATGGGAGCTCTAAATGGGGCTCAATCACCACAAGGCTCTAATTTATACAAAATTTGTTTAAAAAGGCATCCCCAATTGTGCAAATTTGGGGCTCTAAAACTTAAAACCCAACCGGAGTAGTACTCAAATGTGTGAGCTTGGTTGAAGCCCTTGAAACCGAGTGAGACTCACTACATGAAAAAGCTGCAGCCCACATTTCCCACTTGCTTGCTACTGTACATGATCAACTTGCCAAAAACTTGAATGTTCATTTGCATGATGGCCTGCATGCATGAACCCAAATTGCAAAGCTGTTTTCAACAGCTCTATTCCAACAGTCAAATTCCAACAATCAACATAATCAACATGCATGACATGAACCAAAAAAATTTTGAAATTGCAAAGCTGTTTTCAACGGCTCTTTTCCAACAATCAACATGGTCAACATGCATGACATAAATCAAAATTGCAAAGTTGTTTTCAACAGCTCTATTCCAACAATCAACATGCATAGGAGAAGGACATCACCATGATTTCCAAATCTTATCCAAATTTTGTTTTTTTTTGGTTTGAAATAATCAAAAACAAAAAAAAAAAAACAAAAAAACAAAAAAAAAAAAAAAAAAAAAAATAACAACAAAAAAAAAATAAAGTCAAATTACATCATAAAAAAATATAGAGCCCGCCATGAATATAGAGCCTCCTATTGTGGGAGGGATTCCTTTAGAGCACCAAAGATTCCATCGAAGCTCTAAATGAGGCTCTATAAACCATTTTTAGAGCCCCAACCATTAGGAATGGCCTTAGACGCACATGTTGATCAAATTTGTCGTCATCATGCTTAAACTAAGCATAAGACGACGAGCCTTAATTAGCTCTATAATTTTAAACCTTTAGGATTAATTTAAACGTTGAGGGAAAGTGAGATAATGAGTTAGAATTATGATAAGTCGAATGTTCGATTTCCTATAATATAACTAGGGGAAAAAACTATCGTCTTATGATTGTCATACATACTTGTCTTATGAATTCATGAAGAGCCAAAGTGTAGGTCGCATGGTCGAATCTCTACAAAGACAAATAATCGTTTATGTGAAAATGTTGCAGTCAACACTTTCGTACACCCTACGTACAATATTGCTCAGCTGGAGTTGAGTGAAAAGTACGGTGCAATTTTGCAATAGAAGCAAGCAAATCGACTTATACAAGTAACAATGAGTTATTATATTATTTAATATTTTTTTGTTAATTTCATTTTCTACTAATCTTATGGGGCTAGATTTAATGACTAGTCAAAATTAGTAACTTTCGTTCTATGGTATAAAAAAAAATTTGAATTATTTCTGGTTGGTTAGGCATCTTGAGACCAGTCCAAGAAACCTAGCAAAGCCTAAACAGAACCCCCAACTTCTTAACTTTCAGTTTCCTTGTCTTTTGGCCTAACAAATTGCCGTTTTGTTCTTTCATTCACAAAACAGCTTGCTCTATACTTTCATGATCAATACTGCTCTATTCTTTCCGAAATATATATCATATGTTTCCATATAAAGTTATTTTTGAATCGTATCGTGAATCATATCTCTAACACGAGTAAAACCCATATGTATAAGATAAAAATAATATTACATGGATCCTTTTTATGACATAATATACGATATGATCTAAATAGTTTGTGTTGATTTTCATTTCTGTTATAGAGATGATCTACAACTTAATATATGCACAATTTGTTTTTTCAAGTCTTAATTTTTTGTAACTGGAAAAAATTTGGGGAACTAAAAAGGCAAACGTAACTGCAGTGCAGCCAAAATGAGGGAAACATGTTTCCTTATAAATGAAGGACCACCGGAGAAGATACGTGTGGTGTGGTGTGGTTGATTTCAATGTTGAAAATCCAAAGGGGTCTCAAACTTTTGGTATTCAAAGACCCAAAAGAAAAACAACAGAAAAAGTGACCAAAATTAGGTCTGGTTTTGGGGCTTCCATTCCATAATTTCCTGAGCTATTTGGCCATTCAAGAAAGCTCGTACGTACACTATTTTTAAACAACTGTGGCACATGGAACAAGGTCTTCATCATAGAATAGTCCAACCAGAAAATAATATTAATCCAAAAAAATACCTAATTGGGTTTTTGACTCTACCAATGAATCGTATGCGTGGAGGAATCTTGAATAAATCTACAGAAAAATATGAGGTCAGTGTCCGAGACAGAGACTCCTAGCCAAAGATTCAACCAAAAAAATCTTACTATAATACATACGACAGCAAAAATTATAAAGAGCCCTCCATTAACATTTCAAATGCGACCCCTCGACCCTTTTCGAAAGATCGATCGATCAAGTGACTCTTCAACTTGGATTTTGGACATTTCAAAGAGGAGCATTTAATTTGTCCCAAGCCTCCTTTTTTTTTGGTAGTGATAGTGAATCCTCTTTTATATTTGCTTTTGGTGTCAATATTTTAATTTACTTCTCTCTTCATGATCCAGTTACCCTCTTACAACAAAAATTAATGAATAGTTTTTTTCCTTTATTGAATAATATTCTAATCGTCTATTATGTTAGATTTAAATCCAGATGGTTAATTAGCCGAAATCATACTTAATCATGTGGTTCGAATTTACAGTCTAATAAACTAACGACGGGTAGCTAAGAAGATAAGATGACAGATAATTAGTTTCTCATCAAACCAAGTAGTGCATTAAACAACTCCATTTTACAAATGCATCCGTACGTTTTCAAGTACTTGATAATTGATTATATCAATTTACTTCTCTCTCTCCTACCATTTTCTTTGCCTCTCTCCCATATTTAAATTCATTTTCTTCACACATTCCACAGTCCAAACTTATACACCGTGTGCCGACCACCTCTCCTCTCTCATATATACATATGATTCTCTGAATTCCCAAGGAATCATATTCTCATCATCCTACCCAATAATCTCTACCACTTCCATAGCCACCATCCCAAACCTTTCACTATAAAACCAGCTCAAAACCCACACAAAGCTCTGTATGTTCTTCCATAACATTTTCATGTACCCATCTTATTAAACACAAACCCAATTCAGAAAATCGTTTTTGACACAGACCCCTTTGTCCAAAATCTTTAATCTCCGGTCCTTCTTGTTGTTGAGACCAAACTAAGCATGAGAAAGAACAGAGGTTTCAGGCTAAGACACAAGCTAGTGAGAATCTTCAAATGGATTGTCCGACCCAGAAAAGACCCTAACCGATTACAGAGACTGGAGCCTCCGACCCAAAACTACAACCCCATTTCCAAATTCTTCACCTTGGCTCGGTTTCTTCCGCGTGGAGCAAAGCAGCTCTGTTCCGCAAACTCGGGTTATATTCGGATCCGTGAAGCCCCGGTTGAAACCAAAGTTGCAAAACCAGTTTCTGTACCGAAAGGGCATCTGGCTGTGTACGTGGGCGAATCAGGTGATGACACGCAGAGGTATTTAGTGCCTGTGATGTACTTTAATCACCCGCTGTTCGGGGACCTGTTGAAGGAGGCAGAGAAGGTTTACGGGTTCAATCATCCGGGTCGGATCGTGATACCATGTGAGGTTTCGGAGTTTGAGAAGGTGCAGATGAAGATTGCCGCAGGGGATCAATGCCCAAGGCGGAGAAGGAAAAGCCGTTGCTAGTGCGGGTGGCAATTTCGGTAAATGCCAAGATGGTCCAAATTCATGACAATGATTTTGATTTTTGTTTCCCTTTTCTTTTTTTCTCTTTCAAGGAAGTAGAGGGTTAATTTTACCCTAATATTAAATATTGTTTCCCACTAAATACTGTGAATATTGAAGTCATCTACCCTTTTTTGGGGATTTTCTAATACCTTGTGTTGAATTTTACGTTACCACTTTTAGGGGCTTTAGGACGGTTGGGACAAAATTGTGAATTTCGAGCGTTACAAATTTATTGGGACATAGCTTTTTGATGCATTTATAGTATATTTGTATTGCGTTTGATACTAATATATATCAGATGGAATTTATTGATAACGACTTCGAGGCATTGGCACAGCTAGGTAAAGAGGTCGCCGGGTGTGTCCTCACAAGGACAAAACTTTTTTCATTAATTTGGCCCAACAATTCGGTTTATCATTGTTATTTTTCCTCACAAGGGATTTAATGAAGTTTTCAAATGAGGTTTAAGATAATTGGTTGTATTTTCCTGCTAGCACGTAGAAAAATTCCTAAACATGCCGACTACTTTGAGGCTTTTTAGCTTAATTAATGTGTTAAACAAGTGCAACACGACCACGTTGGGGTCTATTGGACTAATAAAAATATAAACAAGTAGTTTAAATGTGCATTAATTTAAACCCAAGTAAAGATAGAAGAGAATCTATGCATGATGAGATTTAAGCATACATCACTTTTAAAGTATGAGAATAAATGAACCACGGGAAAAATGAGTAAAAATTAGGTCAGGTGAAGAGCTTCAATCTAAACCCAAGTGCATTTCTTGTTTTGTCCAACACCAGGACTTATAATTATTCTTAATACTTGTTTATTTCAAGCAAATCCACCACCTTTGTAACCTTTCTAGGTAACACATCATCTTCCAATTAAGAGAGCCACCCACAAGAGCCAAATTGCTGAATTACCATAGAACACCAAGTTGCATTGCTTTTCAGCAAAATGCAAATTGGGTAAAGCTCCTTTAGTCCCCATAATAATCCTTGGTGAAGATCTTAAATTAGATTCTGGCCTTGCTGATGGTGAACCTTTGGTCCCCCATCCCTTTATAAAAAAGAAAATACACAGAACCGAAAAAATTGTAATAACCGCGTGGACCGACCCTTCGGAACGAGAGGTAAAGAGAAAGCAACGTGGCATAGTGCCACAAATCTGAGGCAACTCAACCTCTGATTCTCCTTGCTTTGGTTTATTTTCTTCCCCAATTGGAATAAACCCATAGAATTGTTCCTCATGCTGATATACCTGCAACCCTATGTTCATGCATCAAAGTAAATTTGATTCCAAGCTCAGCCACCAAACCAAATATTATTTGATCCCCATACTTTTATACCTACCAACATACATACACATGAGTTTTATACAACTATTACATTAATAATTTGACATTTCTGGTTTGATTCTAGAGTAGATGCTAGGCATCTTGACACTGTTGAGGTTGTGACATCTTTATCCTGCTACTAAGACCTTACATATTTTCAACATTTAGGCACTGTAGCCTTTGTTTGAAGGATGCAATTGGCCCGGGTCATGGCCATTGCAGGCAGCAGAACAAGCTTCCTCCATTTCGGATTGAGTTACACCGCTGTTGCAGATGTTGGCGAATGCACGCATGTGTTTCATGCCGTACTGAGTCAGCGATCCGCACTGTGTTTCAAACACTCGAACCTGCAATTCAAGTTTTGACCATGACAATTAATTAATGAATGCGATAATGGAATCAATTAAATGGTTAGTTGCTAGTTATTACCATAGATTTTAAGCATTCCCAATCGTCCACAAGGGGCAGACCAAGTGCTCTCACGGAATTAAGTGTGGAGGAACCTTTTCCAGGTCCATAGAGAAATGTTCCTATGAATTCAATGCTTGCATCTAAGTGAGTCCTGTGCCCCATTGTTTCTTTAATCTGCTCGAGGATGTGTCTCTTTTTTTCTGACCCATGCTCTGATCTTTTGTACTGTTGAAAACCAACGGTAAAAAATGCATTAACATCAAGCGACCTCACCTAATGTAGCACTTTAAATCTAAATATACAACAAAATAATTTCTGGGGGATGGAGGTCACCATTTGCCACATGAAGAAAAGCTCAGCATCTCTCTGGTTCACAACTTCCATGGGCTTTTCTAGTTGGCCATTATTAGGAGGGAAGTTCACAGAGGCAGGATCAAAACCTTGGTACAAATACAGCTTTTCTACTGTAATGTTTTTGCTCCCATATTGCATCACATGTGATCCCACATCGTAATTGTTGGAATTGGAAGTCCGTTTCTTTACCTACACAAACACAACTTTGCAAATAAAAATTCCTATATACAAAAGCTTGGCTTCAACATTAACTCCATAAGCTGAAAATTCAGTTCAAGATTTTGTGACCTCACATTCAGATATTGTTGTTTAATTGTTTCTTTCTTCAGATTGTGTCTCTCACTGCAAATTCAAGGAAAAGGAAAGTTAATGAAACGACTTAAAAAAGGTTACATAGAAGCCTCTAATCGTGTTTCCTCTATTCCTCGTTTTGTTTGTCCCAAATAATTTCTACTAAATTAGTTTCTTATTTTGAAAGTTGTTAGAAATTTACTTCTCATCTTGAGAAAGACCAAAATTTCATACCTATCCTCCATCCAAGCAACACTGTACAAATCGCCTAAGCAAGTGATGTATTCGGGTGGTGGTGAGGGGTCCATTCCAGGACAGTAAGTTCCAAAGCTGTTCTCTTGTGCATTTGATGCTGTAGTCACATAAATGTTTAGGTCGCTGGGCATTATGCCTTCAAATATGCTCCCACTCTCACATGCTTCTACATATATAACCTGCAAACAGCGCAGAAAGAACTCAATCAGTTAGCTGTCATATCGGCGAATACCAAACGAAGTGAAAAAAGGCAACCTTCTTACCATCTCTTTATAGCTCCCTGATGCATGTTTCTTCTTCAAAACTTGAATAAAATCCATGGCATAAAGAAAAGGCATATTTGGCATCCCTACAATCATATTGAAAATTGGTGAGTCCTCACTCTCATTTTTACAACATTTCTTTCTACACATCCAAAATGAGCAGTAAGGTGGGTACAGTTGTCATCATCTCTTCTCAGATTGATTCCAACTTGAAATGCACATGAGTTAGCATGTTATGGATAGAACCTAACTTAATTCCTCTTGCAAACCAAGAAAGAAAAATACCCTTTAAAGGAGGTATGAATGAAATAGTGATACAATATTTATAAAAACAACCAGTGATATAATACTGTCCAAAAATGAAAATAATGACACAATATAAGCAGTTGGGTTAGCCAACGGTCGAAAGTGGGTTAGGATTAGGATTTAAGGATAGAGTTAAGTATTCAATCCCTTCTTATGTAACAAATAAAAAAATAATAATGATATACGGTATGAACGTAAAAGAAGAGGGACTGAACTCACCAAGAACACCAGGACCCCCATGATCCGAGTAGTATAAGAAGATCCTGTCATTAGGTTTGCTATCCACAACCTTACCACTTCCACCTTTCACAGCCTTCTTGTCCCCAAGAAGAACTGCATACAGATTCGCAGCGGTTACTTGCTTACCAGTGTAATCCTACATTACCCAAAACCAATATAATCAACCCGAAAGCTTATGGGATTTCGATTAAACTAAAGCTTCATTAACAACCATGTGACAACTATTACCACAGTAACATGTAGCCACCAATTGCTAAGGTTAGCACTATGGCTTAACAAACTTATGTTAAAATGTAAAAAGGGCAATCATAACTCTCAAGTATATTTCACACTTGGATAATTGCTCTGTTTTCTCACTGGGATTAAGTAGAATAAGTCACTTTTAGTTCATACTCTACACTGCATCAGTGGCAGAGGTTGGAAATGGCCGCTGCAGACCTTGGGCTTTAAGTGGGCTGTTCTGTGTCTGAATTGATCTCCATGGCCTTGGGCTTTATGTGGGCCTATTGCCCCAATTTCTCAACAACAACAAAAAAAACAAATACACACACAAAAGGTCAAAAAAAATCCAAGACACTTACGTATATTTGAGAATTCTATTTTAGGCCAAAATAATGTCTATTTTTGTTACAGTGATTATATGTGTCCGTGAGACTTTGAACCTAAGATGAACCATGCTCATACCTCTATTGATCAAGCTGCATTTAATCCTAACTTTACCCTTTAACAAAATAAGCCTAAAATAAAATAAAATAAACAAAAAAAATTAAAGAACTGAAAGGGAAAAAGAAAATTTAAAAGTAGACCACTAAGTTTTGTTGCAAACTAATGGTCTAATTGTTGAACCCCTATGACACCGCAGTAGTGTGTATGTGAGAAACTCTCTCCCCTGTAATTTAGACTATAGTGTGTGTAAGAAACTCTCTCCCTTGTAATTTAGACTATCACTTCATTTGTACTAAAAAAATAATGTATAAAAAAAAAAAGTTTGAAAATGAGTTTCTATAAAAATATTTCATGCAGATATAAAGAGCATTTTCAAATCCAAATGAAACGACCCAATCCAATCCAATCCAATCCAATCCAAGCATCCAACAAACATTTTGAAATCTGGAAATGAATGCTTAAAAGTTACACAATCAAGACACATAGGTCATATATCAATGTCATCAATCATGATGTGGAAATTTACCTTCTTTTTTTCCCTCACTCATCATCTTACCCTTACCTTTCCCTTTCGTTAATGAAAGTGCGTTTCGACCCAACAAAAAAAAATTTAAGATGCTTTCAAAAGCAAGATGCCAAATAGCACTGTTTTCAGCAGCAAAAGTTCACCACTCAAGACCATGCTACAAGCATTTTCTTTTATTTATTTATTTTTCGTTCGGTATAAATATAAAATTTGATCCTTTGACATTAGAATTTTTTTTTTTTTTTTTTTTTTTTTTTTTTTTTTTAGCTTTAAGAAATATTAAAAGGAAGAAGAAGAAAGGCTAAGGATAAAGATCAGTCAAGTAGGGCTCAACTCTTTTGTCCTCCAAACATTGTATTTAGCTTTTAATAGAAGCTCTTGCTTTGTCCTTGCTAATCAATTAGCTAGCTACATCCACTTGGCAGCTTTGATTTGACAAACCTAAGACCTCTTACCCACTTTTAATTACTTCTTTTTTTTGGTCGAAACTTTTAATTACTTAAATAAGTGAATGGTACCTACAAGACTACTAGAGATAATCATATCTATGGTGCAACTATCATACAAATAAAAATAAATTAATTAATTCACAAAATAATAATAATAATAATAAAATCACAAACTGTACCTTAGGCACACCGGCATATACATCTTGACCTTGTGGATGGTTGATGATGACCCCAGGCCTGGGATTTATTTCATGGCTGGCGATATCATCATACATAAATACCACTATGTTTTCCTCTTTCAACCCACCTTTTTTCAGCAGCTGGTATGCGTGGCAAACATCGGCCTACATATATATAAATAATTTAATATGTAAAACCTCAACACTAAAAAAAATTATATATATGAAAAAATCTTGCTTAATTATCACATACATACCTGATGCCTGTAATTTCCATAGCCAGATGAACCGGCAACAAGAACCGCCCATCTTGTTCCAGCTTCCTTGTGATTAGTATCTTCCGGTTTATCCTTATCTGAAGGCAACCGGATTGTAGAGTCCCACAGGTCCAACCGGGCGACTCGGCCGCCTCCTACGAGCAGCACAAACAGAACCAGCAACAGGATCAACCTGGACTGATATTGGACCACCGCCATGAAGAAAACCCAAGGGCTAAATTAAGAAACTGGGGGCGAAGAAAAGGAGGAAATGAAGAAAAGGGGGAGGTGGTGTGTGGAGATTGATGAGAAGGGTGGTGAGAGAGTATAAGGGTAGAGACTGGTGAAGTGGCGGGGTGTGGTGTGGTCTGGTGTGAGGTGCATGCAAAAAAAGACAACGGTTTTGACACGTGTGGACTAGGGCTTTGAGTTGGTGGGCCCAAGGTGAATGTGCATGCAACGGGTGGGGTTTCCATGTTTTAGGTTTGACGTTGTATGGTGGAGTATTGTGAAGGTGGTGACTTGCCGACTTGGGTTGGGTTGGGTTGGTTTGGGTTTGGCTTTTTACTCATAACTTCCCCTTTTTCTCTGCAGTGCTAGAATGTATTTTTATAACAGCTATAGAGGATCATGTGACTGAGAGAAGAGCTTTTGTTTGTTTTGTTTCATTTCATCCTTTAATTTGAACTTGAAATCAAGTTTGGTTGTTTCCAAGTGGTAGATTTAGGATTCAAAAGTCAAGTAGGCAAGTTTATTTTAAAAACTATAAGTGAATTTCATTAATACATATAAACAGATACACCTAGCTAGATATGAGTGGTGTAATGAGTCTTACTCTCAAATATGTATCTCTATACACATTGGCGAAACAAAATTTTCATATATGTCGGGGTCTCACACAAAATATAAACAATAAAAATTCAAATTCTCACAAGGCATACAAAAACATCAAAAATCATATTGTCTATTCATTACAATCATAATTGTCTTCGACGAGTTTTCATATTTTGAAATCATAAAATAAAATTAAAATTCATCAAGACAAGTTCACAATTGCAACAAAGAGACATACAATTACATACTAAGCAAGAAAATTTATGAGGAATAGACAGATACGTATTTGGAGTTGAATAGCGATTTAGCAAATATATATTTCTAAAAGCCCAACAATAGGTATAAACCTTTGGGGATACGTTTTTCTTCTCTTTATTTTTTCTTTCCCACTTGTCTTGGAGCCCCATGATTGTCCTTCTGTGGGGTATAAATAATGTATTTATATATATAAAGCAAAAGGAAGAGAATGGTGAAACATTCAAAAACCCCGAAAATGCCCTTTGCCAAAGAAAAAATTAAAAACACACCATTTTAATTAAGAGATGGTGAAATAGTAAAACACCACTGACTTAATAAAAAGAAAAAGGAAAGAAAAAAAGAGTCATGTTGTGCTACCACAGGGAAAGGGTGAAGAACGGTTTAACCCACGAACAACGGTTGCCTAGAAAAGAAGAAGAACTGATGAACGAGGAGACAAATTTAAAAAAACTGAAAAACCAACTCAAATATGCTGCAGTTCATGTCAGTTTTAACACTTCCCACACAACCATGTGATGACAACTATGTGATTAAGAGTCGTTACCCTTCATTCAAAATCCTATAAGAATCTCTATATAGTCCTCATTTGCCTCGCCTCCACCGAACAAATATCCATATGACCAAAGAAAGGTACGTATTGGTAACTGGTTCCATTTACTTTCCATGGAACCCTGTCGACATGGTCCTCCATATACGGAAAAAGACGACTCTCTCAAGAGATATACCCCACACCTACACTTCAATTGAACTGGTCCTCCTCCCTTGCAGAAGCTCTTTGATGATATAAATCAGAGGGTTGAAATAAAAACACAATCATTTAAGTTAGGTTCTTCCCCTTGGGATTGATAAACCCCTGGTTCTGTGGAAGGCCAGGATTTATCTTGCAGTACCTATGGAAGATGAAGCATATACAGAAATCTTCTTGATGCAATAAATTACAGCATCTCAGGCCCTTCCAAGCACTGCAAGTTTGGAATTTAAGATTCCCCACTGGATCCGTATGAATGCTCCTCCTCATCCTTCTCATCAAAATAATAGAGTAGGTGGCAGCGTACTTCTGAAGTGGGCCCCACGTGATTGTATGTATATGCTGATTTAACAGACGGTATTATGCATATCGTTTCCATAAACATATAAAGTAATCATGCATCTATTGATTTAGTTTATGGTGTGGATATAAATACATTATGTTAATCTGGGATTTACAAATTGGTGGGCTATCATTTTCGATTGAAACATGTATTAGTTATAATAAAACAAGATACTTGGACAAGGTTACTTCTAAACAAATACTTTTGGATATCAATCCAAATCCAACTTTGCGAGACGACATGTCGACAAATGATATGAAGTCATTTTAGTTAAATGAGGCCAAAACATGGAAAATCATGAACTGGAACCTGTAGGAATCTTTTCTACCAAAGACTCAAATCTATCAACACTATCATTAATCTCGAAATCGTATCTCCCGCTCAGTTGATTTTTCAAACTTCTATTTGGTTTGCACATAACCATGATGATTTCAAGCACTTTTAGCATAAACCAAGTAAAAATTATAGGATTTCTAAGAATAATCATTGGCATCTTTAACCAATTCACTTCGAGTGCTTTTGGTCCTAAGGAAGCTGGTTTTGGATTTCTTAGATTACATACCTCTTTTGAGTTGGCAATTGTAGGAAATAGGAATGGCTATTATAACTTAGTGGACCAACATCAAGTAAATAATCAGTCTATAATACTTGTGGGAGCTCAAAATTTGCACAGATAAGATAACCGATTAGCGATGACTTCCCGAGTTGCAGGAACTAAAGTCTGAGCTGAAATATAATGTGCATCTTTACGTTTGTGAAAAAGATGTTTTCATACCTTTGGAGAATCCTCAAAGAATTGGTTAGGTTGAAACCAAAGACAACCTCTCTTCATCCGTATGTGAATTTCTTCTAACTCACAAAATACCTCATATTCAGTATTATTCTGATTTTTCAGTCACCCCAAAAATAATCACAGTGCTGCCCCATTTATTAAAGAAACATGAAAATTGAAAGTACCTTCAAAGGTTGGTTAACAAGGACTCATGAGCATGATATTTTCTTCCTGCAAAGGAACATATCCGTAGTGTAACTCTTGTATGCAAAATGCAATTTCTTTCGCATCCAACCGATAAATGGAAATTTCTTTCAGTATTTTTCCCTCCATGAATGCCACTTCAATTTCAACTGATACCACAAAGGAGGAATACCAAGAATCCCTCGCGCTAACCTTGGATCAAACACATCAAAATTCACTCGGCTCAAAGAGTCCAGTAGAACCTGGGCAGGCACGGCTGGCAGCAGCACTGGGAGAGCCTCTACAGGTACTGTACCAGCTAAGTCACGAGCCTTCTGCAAATGGACATTAGCAACTGATGCCATCTCAAAAACCGCTTCACATAAGCCCTCACGAGAATCCAAATGAATCTCTGATTGACCTCCATGCTTAACCAGCAATCCATGCTTGGCTGCCACTTCGGTTGGTATATAAGAAAAATGGCGGTTTCGACTACCATGATATGGCAATGACTTAATCAGCAAAAGAAGACCACTTGCTTTACCAATATGTGATGCTGCATGATCGGCTGCAGTGGACCTGATACCACCAGCTTGAAGTGTCATGTAAAGAAGAGTTGATACAGTATCTTCCGCATATCTCTCCAATTCTTCAATTTTTTCTGGGGTGTCACCAACCTCCTTTCTTGCATCACTGATCCGAGCTTCTACAGACCGTTTCAGCCATACCTTGCTAATTTTGTTCTCATGTACCACTGACAACAGGGCTTGTGCTGTTGGGTGCTCAATTAACTTGTTGGCATAGATTTTGTCTATGGCTTCTTGCCACCAGACGAGGCGCATAAGACCAATCCTCGGATCAGAAGCAACATCCATAGCACGAGCTGTTTCAACATTTAAGGCACGGACTGCAAATGCAACCTTTCGCATGTTAGGGGGGAGTTCAAGGAGGCAAAGGTAGTTATGGTAATCATAACTACGGACTTGCTGCACACAGTATGAGAAAGCTGCCCTTAAGCTACTAGATGCAGAAGCACCATTCATCAAATACCAACCCTGGTTCCTCCAACAAATATACAATTGCACGAACTGCTCAAATCGCACAAAACTTCACTCAGATGAGTTAGGATTTAAAGCTGAGGGCCGATCACCTGAGAACGAAGAAGAAACAAGCTATGATGTAAACCAAAATTTTATTAGCACCAATGCAACTCAGGATCACAATGAATGTAACTATGGTTAAAACATATGTTTATATTAATGATCTTTCCATCTTCATTTAAAGAAAAAAAAGGCCAATACATCATATCTTACCAGAAAATTCAAATCCACAAAAGGAAATTTATGCCCCGGTAAGCCATTCCATGCTAGCACCCCAATCTTCACTAATAAATATAAAATGTACTAAAAACAAAGAAAAAATATGGAAGGTTGTGTTTGGATGAGGTATTTGAAAGTACCAAAGGATTTCCAAAATGATGGGATTTATAAATTTATTTGTTTGTTTAATAATATAGTATAACAATTTACTTCTTCCATCTAAACACAAACCTTATGTTCAAAATAAAAACATGGGTTTCTTCTGGCATTGTCTCAAACACCTTGCGGGCACAGAAATGCAATCTAATGAAATCAAAGCCAACCAACTTCATACAAACATACAGATCATTATATAGATCTAGAGCAATCTAACAAAGCTATTGGAATTATAAAGTTACCCAATTCACTCACTCCCCTTATGAGTTTCGAATTGGATTGCACGTATCGAATTGTGGTATGTTAGCAACCTGGAATGATACATTTAGTGAACCAATACTCATAGGGATTAGAACAAAACCTGAACGATGTTGCTGCCAAAACTCGATTGGTTATTCCAATCATCAACTTAATAGGGTGGTGGGAGAGCAGTAGGGGGAGCCATCAAAAGAGAGAACCATGGAAACAGAGTGCAGCGAGGAAGTTTTGAAATTGGTTCTGAAGCAGCAGAAAAATTTACTAGCAGAGGAGGAAGACGTTGGTTTGTTCAATCTAATAAAGAAAGTGGCTGTTCCAAAGAGGTAAATTTTCATTAACTAAATAATAAATTAGACTTCAAAGACCTTAAAATTCCCACTAATTTTGATAAATAAATAAAAACACGCTGTGCTACTTTTTCCAACCTTATACGCTCTCTTTTTTGTACTTCTTACTAATTCTGAGTATTTACAAAATAAATATCATACTGAATTAAACTAATACACGAATTATGACCCGAAATTTTGTTCCAACTATGCCTACCCCTTCAAATTTTGTACCATAGAAACCAGCGTACCTCGTACCCATTCCTGTTCCCCATACCAGGTAACTATGTTGGTTTATAATATAACTTAACAATGGTATTTCTAATTTAAAAAATGAGGTACTGGTAGTGAAAGGCTGAAGTATGCTGCATGACTTTCATATGACAAGTTCTAATGATAGTCAAAGTTCAAATTACAAAATATCAGTCAAAAAGAAGAAATTTCATCAGTACTTGAGAAAGACTGGAGGAAGCATTACTCAGTCTCATAAACCAATATATCAATACTAATACTAGAGGGTCGTAAAATACTATCTCAAATCTGGTAATTTTAGCCTCTACAGATAGAAGAAATAGAGCTTGCTGAGCTCTATAAACACATAATAAATTAGCAAAACGTCAGATTACATGATTTCTAAGATACCAAACAAAGATTGCCAAGTATTGCAATGCACAAGAACTATTGAAATTAGAAGCCGAGACAATGAACAAGTCCTCTGTACATGCAAACACAACACATTAACTTCCCCAAAATTTATGGGTTTATCAAAAAGCCCCACAGAGAAAGGCATCCCAAATTTTACCAACACATTTCTCATAGGAAATCATCAAACAGAACTAGGGCACGTCTATGGACCTTTTCTATTTTTTCACGTCAAATAATATAATCACAAACAATAATCACAGAAGTAATCCAGTGAGTATAAATCACAAAATATTAGATAACCCATCTAAGATCTTTCAAATTACATTGAGAAAATTAAATGAAACAGACTGATAACATGAATTGGGATCCCACCTTAAACCATGAGAGAGAGAGAGCGCGCGCTAGAGGTGAAGCTTAAGAGGAGAACGCTCTCTGTCAAGCTTTCTGGTATTTCCACCATTAACATCAAGAGACTGAGAAACTGGGGGGCTGAGGTGAGAGCAGCTAATTGTTCATGTGGGCTACGCTAAAACAACAAGGCTTCGGCATGTGCCAGGTGGGTAAGCCTTTCCATTTTATTTGTTAACATGCGCCGTTTTAGTGAAACATACAAAACTAACTCCTGCCATATTGGACTGGGTAAGGCAGGCCCAATGAAATACATCCAACACATTATAGGAAAACCCCATTGTCCAAACTTTTTGAATCATTATCTTATTATGTATGTATATATATTAATTAAAAATATATTAATAGTATTATCATGGTAAGTTCGAGGACGAGGATCACAACACTATCTCTGGCAATGATGCTTTTTATCTAAGTGATTTTAGATAGACTATAATTACTTATGAGGAGAACCACCTCCTATAAGCGTTTTTAACACAATTATGTCGAAAACGTTAAGGCCCCCAATTCGTTTACGTTTTAGAGGCCCATTTTCCTTTTCAAAAAACAAAAACAAAAACAAAAACAAAAACAAAGCAAAAATGTGTTCGGTGGGCAAGAACATAAAACATTGAAAATGTTTTCAGAAAATGAGACAAACTTCACGTTTACTTCTACAAAACAGAAAAAAATATGTTTTGTTCTCCCAGAAAACAAATGCTCAAAACACATTGCTTCTGCTCAATCTTCTCTCCCTATCAGACCAAAAACCAAAATTCTTCTCTCCTCGACCACCATTCTCTTCTCTCCCTTTTTCTTGACCACTATTCTCTCCGACTTGGCTCACTCCTCTCTTTGGCAACAATCTCTCTTCCTCTCTTCACCACTAAGGCTTTTTGTTCTCTCCAATTGCTCCATCGCCCCACAGACCACATGAAGATTGTTGCTCTTGGAAGATCTCGTTTTCAGTGTTTTCTGAAGACACGAGAATGCATCCCATCAACAACTCTAGCTCTCTCTCTCTTGACAACCGATAAACCCACAAACAGGAACAACACCCATCTTCTCCGACCCAAAATAACACAAATATGCAAACTAAGAAAAAAAAATACATAGGAAGAAGAAAAGAAAAGAAAAAGAGAGACAGGAAGAAGAACCACCACATACCCAGCTCAACCACCATCATCTCCCAATCAAACCACCACAACCATTAATTAGTGGAGAGAGAGAGAGAGAGAGAGAGAGAGAGAGAGAGAGAGAGAGAGAGAGAGAGAGAGAGAGAGAGAGAGAGAGAGAGAGAGAGAGAGAGAGAGAGATGGGTGGGTGTATGGGATTCATGCCATGGAAGGAAGGAGGAGTGGGTGCGGCCTAGGAAGGAAAGGAAGAAGAAAAGAGGAAGAAAAGGAGAAAAAAGAACGGCATTGGGAAGGAAAGGAAGAAGAAATGAGGAAGAAAGAAGGAAAGAGGAAGAAAAAGAGAAAAAAGAAACAGCCATGCGAAGGAAAAGAAGAAGAAAAGAGGAGGAAAGAGAGAAAAAGAGAAAAAAAGAAAGAAAAGAAAGAAAAAAGAAAGGAGATAAGATAGTTTTTGAGCTTTAATTTTTTCATTGTTTATAATAATTTTAGCCTCTAAAAACATCAAAATAAAAAAATAAAAAAATAAAATTAGAACTGAAATTATAAAAAATACACCTGAAAAACAATTGTACTACCAGACACGTTTTCATTGTTTTTGTTTTATAAAGATGTTTTTTAATTAATCTACCAGATGCATTTTCATTTCCTGAAAATGCAAATTTGTTTTCTTGTTTTCATTCTTTGAAAATATTCTCAGAAAACACTCTCCGAAAATGTTACCAGACGGGCCCTAAGTGTTTTTGTGTTTTAAAAACAGTTTTTAGTATTTTCTAAAAAAGTATTTGGATCATTTGTATCTAGAGTAATATAATTAAAACCCAGCTTAAACCTTTGAAAACAAACTAGGGGAAGCAGAACTTTGTTATGAAGTGGGATTTAACTTAATTTGTATGCCACATAAATGACTGCAGCCATAAATATTTCCAAAGTTCACCACAAGCTCCAAATTATAATCCAAAAAGTACTACATTTCAGCGTTTCCACTCTTGCGGAGTTTTCGTGGATTCCAGACCAATGATATTTCTGTGAAGAATTTATATTTACAATAAGTAATGGACAGTAATAAAAGAAAAATGGATACCCATGACACTTCCTCACCTTTCTATCAAGCTCAATGGAACAAAGTACTGATCTAGGGCACCGCTGCAATAGTCATTCCCTTATATTTACAAGTAGAAGCGTTTTTTCACAAGCATCATACTTACAAGTAGAAGTGTTTTTCACATAAGCATCCCCAAATGATCCCTTATGAAATCTAGAATCCGCGCCCTTAAGTTTTCTCTAATTATCTCTATATCGGAATCGAGCACTTGACTTGGAATTTTTATTGTGGTGTGAGCCAAAGAGTCTATGATGCTTACATCAGTCTTCGCAAAAGTAAAAGTAGGGTTTTTAGTTCAAGAAACAATTACATTTTCCATGAGATGGAGGTTGCCTTATACAGAGCTATGTCTTGGATAGTTTATCATTGTGAGAGGTTACACACCATATGTTGGTTGGGCCGGTCAAGAAGCGTTAGTCCACACGTCCAGTCAATTCGTTGTTTTGACTTGGGAATGTGGGATAGTTAACTCAGTTAATCTTTTTATTCAATGTTTTGGATGCTAAGTTAACTCAATTTTCTATTTAAGTTGATGAATTCTTAATCTTTATTTGAATTGCTTCTATGATGTGATTTTGTGTGATTAGGTCTTGATTACACGATTCAGTTTGTTCATTGGGATTAAGAATTGTATATTACATATATCTAGGTGTAGACTTTATGGTTTACATAATTCCTAGTTTTCATAGAACTTAAGAGTTTTTAGGTTGATAA